GCGTGACATCATCACAAGATGGCCACCACAAGATCGCCACCCTCACGTTGTCACAAGATAGCCGGCAGGAGAGGGCAGTTGTGGGCAAGATCAGGTCAGCAGGGGAAGGCAGTTGGGGGCGATCAGGCTGGCAGGGGAGCGGTTAGGTGTCAATCAGGCCAGCAGGGAAGCAGTTAGGGGGCGATCAGGCTGGCAGACAGAAGCGGTTAGGGGCAATCAGGCAGGCAGGTAGGCGAGCAGTTAGGATCCAGTAGTCCCAGATTGTGAGAGGGATGTCCGATCCCCACAGGGGTCGGGCCTAAACCGGCAGTCGGACATGCCCCAAGGGGTCCCAGATTGGAGAGGGTACAGGCTGGGCTGAGGGACACTCCCCCCGCCCCACCCATGCACCAATTTTGTGCATCGGGCCTCTAGTATTTTAGAAAAGGTTTAGTGTGTGCATAATTTCTAAAGCTTCTTTAGCTTAACTGACTGGTTAACCAACCATTTTCTGGCTCTGACTGCATCAAGCAAGAAGGTTTTAATTATAGAGTTAAAAGTATACTAAGATGCAGTGCTTCAATATCAGTGTGACACATCCAAACTCTGAGAGTTTGAATTTGACATATTTAAAGGGTATAATAAGCACAATAAAATAAAATTCAAAACCCTTTCTCCAAGTTTCCCTCCACAACAGCCCTTTCACTAGGCTGGACACACTTCCCTGCCCACTCTCCTACACTTGACTTTGCACAGGGTCTGTCCTTCACCAAAATGGCCTCCCCTCAGTCTCTCCCTATATAAAATCCACCCAGACCTCATGGTTCAAATGCCACTTCATCCCTGAAACTGTCCCTCTTCTTCCCACCTGGAAATGGCTTCCTTCCTCTGAAATCCCAACGTATCATCTGTACCTCTCATCCCCTTTAACTTGCATGAAAACTCCTCAAATACAACTTCTACACCCCATATTTGATAGTAAGCTTCTTAAGAATAATATCAACCATAAAATACAACCCATAGCTTTACCTGGTTGGTGCTCAATCAACACTATAAGAACAAAGTAATTCTAGGACTACCACAATAAGCCATTTTGTTGACATCCTCACAGGGTAATACTAAATTTAGCTTACCAGAGTATCGGAAGATAAAAGCCGTGAGCATAATTGAAAACCGGAGCTCCCAAAGAAGCTGCTACCAAGATTAACTGGACTGCAGTGTTTACCTAAAAAAAAAACGTCATCCATGAACAGTGACAACCAGATCCTGTTTCAAGCTTACAAGACAGAGTAACACAACATACCCTCAACATGTTTAATGTTCTAATATTCCTGCCAAAGAAGCTGGCATTCACACAAAGGGGTGAACTTCACCAACTGGCCCACTTGTCTGCACAGCTGCTCTTCACAGCAAAGAGAAGGGCAACTGTCAGAAAATACCACTATCTTGCATTTCCATAGCAATTCAAAATGTTGCCAAGTTCCTTGCCTTTTATTTCAGTCATTAAAACAGCCCTGTGACTACGGAAATAATTTTACAGATGAAAAGGTAATGCAATTAGTAAAGTGACCTGCCATTAATCACAGCAGGTTACATATCTGAACCTAGAACCCAGATTTCCCAGCACTTCATTCAGTGCTATTGCTTGCCTGCCTGTCAAACTCATGAGGTTAGAACACTGAAATGCACTCATCTCCATGAGAGTCTCTGGAGGAAATGAGGATTCCCTACCCTAAAAGACAGCATGGAGGACAAAGGAAGAAACAGAACCAGAAAGACACTGAAGACTCCCTCTACTCATCCTGCAAAGTGCCTGGGGAGGAGTGGGTGACAGTGAATCAGCGGGTGGTGTGCCTAGAGAAGCACCTATGTTCTATCATCCATTCTGCAGCCAAATTACAAGAATTCCAATTTGTTTTAAAAATAAATAATAAAAACTGCCTGGAGAACTTCTTGCAAGAACAAGGATTTGAGGTATTTGTCCCTCCACTTCTTTAAGCCACTTCCTATCTGTATCAAATTACTGTGACACAAATATAAGTCACCTGAATTTAAAAAATAAAATAAAAACCCACAAATATAGATAAAGTTCCACCCAGGGAATTTCTGGTTTGAAAGTAATCAGCCCCCTGGCTGGTGTGGCTCAGTTGGTTAGGGGTCGTCTTGTGCAAGCAAAGGCTGCTTCTCAGTCAGGACACATGCCCCGGTTTCAGGATTGATCCCCGGTACGGGGCATGTGGGAGGCAGCCAATAGATGTTTTACTCTTACATCAATGTTTCTCTCTCTCTCTCTCCCTCCCTTTCCCTTCCTCTCACTCTAAAATTCATTAAAAATATTTATTAAATAAATTTAAAAATAATAAATAAAGTCATCACCCCTCTGTTCCAAAGATGACAGGCATCGCCAGCCTAATAAACTGCCACTACAAAGGATGGGACACAAGAATGAGTAGAGCAAACTTATCAAGGCCAATAGAAAAATACATGTGCCCTGGGAGCCATTAACAGTGTCCTCTGTGTGTGCAAAGATCGGCACACAGCTATAATCCTGAAGTGGCTCAGGAAAACGGGATGGAGACTTAGAAAAGCAGTTGTTTATTAAATTGTGAATAAACTTTCTCCTATCCCTTTGCATGTAACAATCGAACTTGAAAAGGAAACAACCTTTTATAAGTTGTTTTCACCAAAGGGAGGTGGGTGGTGAAACCAGAAAGGAACCTTCATAACCTCTTTGTGTCTACTTTCCCTAAATAGTCGCCCTATTACCTCATCTTACATTCTCAGACCACCACCACAAAACACAACACATATACTAAAAATTACAAAAGCTTTGAGAACAAAAATATTGGGCTAATGACCCCACTCTCTATCCACTACAGCCAATGCATTTAAGTTTGTCTCATTTTCAGCTGCTCCAGACTGAGGTTTATATTCATTGTAATAAGCTTAAAAGGACGCTGTGTGTCTCTTACCTTGCTGATGAAGGTTGGTTTTAACCTAGCAGTAGCATAGCAAGGATTGAAATACTTAGAAAGTGTTCGCTGGCAGAGGACAAAAAAGATAAAAATTTACTCAATTTAGCATTCAATTTCAAATAAACATTTTGTTAATATATGTAGGTAACAGTTACTCAATGCTTACCACAGGCCTGGCTATATGCTACAATAAGCCCTTTATCTGCACTTTCTATTTTCCTAAATGAGCATCATCTCCGTTCTTTATAAATTATACATGGGTTACTGAAAATAGATTTTAAAAACCCATAGATTTATTTGTCAATTCCTATAAAACTAACACGATAACTATCATAAAATCTGTCTATCTCTTTCTACTAAAAAATTCAATAAACTTCCCTTATTACTATTTTCTTTTATAGACTAAAAACACAAAATAAATAAAATACTGCTATGTTCACTGAGTTGGGAGCCAAAAGATGAGGTCATTATGCTATGCTTATGTGCTCAAATATTTGTAAAACCAATAAACAAATATACAAATTAACCATCCCATGCCCATACAGCTGTGATTTTAAAAATCAGTTCTAGACAAGCCATAGTAGGGGCTCAATTAGACAGCAAAAAGGGCTTCTCACCTGGAAATGGCAAGCACTCCTAATAGAGCTTAGATGGGGGTAGCTGGTCTGAGTTTTAAGCTGCAGTTAGTTATGTGCTATCAACTGAAAGGATTTGGACTTAAAAACAAAAGCATGTCTGTTTTAAATTGATTATTCTGTGTTCACTGAAAACTACCAAAGCAAGATGACAGTTAATGTGTGTTTTTTAAAAAATTCTTAGCAAATAGATTTCTAAAAAATAACTGCCATAAATTATCCCCACAAAGTGAAACTTGGTATACAACAGTGATTATTTTTTTCCCCTTAAGTGCTAAATAATAATAAAAGAACATTTTCTTTGAAATAAACTCACCGGTTCTGGAAGAGTTCGATATCTGACATAAAAAACAGCAAGAATCAACATTATATCTCTTGAAATTATCATATAAGTAAGTGGAACTGAAAATCAAAAATAAAATAATTTTGGTTGGGATTTTTAAAATTACTAAGATATTACACATACAGTGAAGCCTTACCATAAACTGGTGTTTCTGATAAGCCTTAATAAACAGGTGTTTTTCATAAGTAAAAATTTTCATTTTTTAATAAACATCTATTGAAAGTTTAGGATCCTTAAAGTGAACCACTTATTTTTATCTTCTTTTACATGCACTCAAAACAAAGTGAAAAGAAACTATGGCTTTCAAAGTCTAAGTTTGCCTTTCAGAATGTTGACCTTCTAGGCCTCCTTTTGTTTTGTTTTTCTTGCACATGTTTTAAGCTGCAGTTAGTTATCAGTGTCAGCTTTACTCAGCTCTAACCACTTCTGTTATTTCTCAGCTTTGTAAGTTTGGGGGAAAAGATCACCACGCCCACTCTAAGTACATGGGATAAAATAGTAAAGAGGTTGGAAAGGATGTCAGGGTGAATCATATTGGCGTCTCAGGCTCTTTGACTACTTGCTTCTGCATTCTAGGCAACTTTATAAACAATAAAATTTGCTATATGTACCACTTGTGAAGAAACAAAATGTTCTCATTCTTGTCTGGGCCGGTTCCTACCCCAACAATTGCTATTTTTTCTCCTGCTCCATTCATTCAGTGAATTCTAACTAAACATGAATTCATTCAACTTGTCAATACTTTCTCATTATTCCTTAGATTCTACAGCATGACCCCAGAGGCAGAGCCAGCAGATGGATATTTTAGATGGATGCCAAGGAGCCCCTACTACTCCCTTGTGGAATGAGAATGGGAGGGCAGAGGACTTGTTTCACTTTATATCCTTCAGTGCTGCAAGAATCTTAACCATGAACATGTATCAATTTCGTAAGGGGAAAATTATTTTTTTTTAAAGGAGAAAAAATCCTGAGGCTAAAACACAGTTCAAAATGTTTCAATCACTAAAATAAAGAATCACTGTACATCCCCCTTTCCATAATACTTTCAAACAGCTCTTTTGTGAATTACTTTTGAGGCTATACTTAGGGTCCTTTCTAGCTTTGACACTCTGTTGATTTTGCAACTTAAGAAAAATCTGACTAAAGAATTACAGATTTAAATTTTAAATCTCTGCTGGTCACAGCTATGATGTAAGTGCTGATCCTTGGCCTAGTCCTGGATGACTAGATTTCTCCAAAGAGAAAGTGGTTCTCCATGCAACTCATGGCACTTAGAACACACAGATGATTCAGTTATATGAACCAAGTAACAAAAGCCAACCTGCCATGATTTTTAGGGACATTTTTGTGACTGTACAACAAACTTTTCATAGCAATAATTAGCTAGCACCACCTAACAGCAACCAGATTTTAAAATGCAGCAAACTCACGTAAGTTACATATAATAAATCTCCTAAACATAACTTCAAACAAGAATAAGTACCTGGTAATGTATTTCATCACCATGGGGGAAAAAGGAGTATGCCTTAATCCTAAATAAGAGATTTCAGCAGGAGAGGAGATACACTGCAAAGACTCAGGTCCCAGTTCTATTAACTACCAAAATTGTAATTTATTAAGCATTGTTTTAAATATTTCTTACATATTATTAATATCAGAAAGAAGAGATCCAAGAAAACATAGGATAGAAAATTATCGAAGACATAAACAATTTTCAGAATTGGAGTTTTCAGACTGAAGGGACTGAAAACTCCTTAAAACCCAGCACAATGAAAGACACACACCAAATCTGAGTAGGATCTAGAGCAGTGGTTCTCAACCTTCCTAATGCCGCGACCCTTTAATACAGTTCCTCATGTTGTGGTGACCCCCAACCATAAAATTATTTTCGTTGCTACTTCATAACTGTAATGTTGCTACTGTCATGAATCGTAATGTAAATATCTGATATGCAGGATGTATTTTCATTGTTACAAATTGAACATAATTAAAGCATAGTGATTAATCATAAAAACAATATGTAATTATATATGTGTTTTCCGATGGTCTTAGGCGACCCCTGTGAAAGGGTCGTTCGCCCCCCAAAGGGGTCGCGACCCACAGGTTGAGAACCGCTGATCTAGAGGCTATACCACTGTAAAATTTCAGAACTACAAGGACAATGAAAAGATCCTGGGACTCAGCTTCCATTAATATCTGATAATTCAGAACAATCCTCCTGCTAATATAACTAAAGAAAAACAACAACAACAAAAAAAATTCTGAAAGCTGCTTACAAGATGCTAAGAAAGTGTCAGGCTAATGCCTGTTCGAGTGAGAACTCAAAAAAATAAAATAAAATAGACAGACAGATAGATAGGTCTAGATACTCAAAGCCACTGTCCCTACTCCTAGGACACAAGACACAAAGTTGAACAGAATTGTTGGTAGTCTCAGATGGTCTGGGGGGCCAGCAGTCAAACCCTCGAGGCTGGGGTTTGATAAACCACCTCAGAGCTCTGAGCTGGGGGCTGAAGGACTATCCCCCCAGGACTGGGAGAGGAGACGGTACTAAATGTCTCACCATCGAACAATATAGGACAGGGGTGGGAACCTTTTTCTTGCCAAGGGCCATTTGGATATTTATAACAACATTCTTGGGCCATACAAAATCATCAGCTTAAAAATTAGGCCGATGCGGACTGAGGGGTCCCAGGTTCGATTCTGGTCAGGGGCATGTACCTGGGTTGCGGGCACATCCCCAGTGGGAGATGTGCAGGAGACAGCTGATTGATGTTTCTCTTTCATCGATGTTTCTAACTCTCTCTCTCTCCCTCTCTGTGAAAAATCAATAAAATATATTAAAAAAAAATTAGGCCGAAACCGGTTTGGCTCAGTGGATAGAGCATCGGCCTGCAGACTGAAAGGTCCCGGGTTCGATTCCGGTCAAGGGCATGTACCTTGGTTGCGGGCACATCCCCAGTAGGGTGTGTCCAGTAGGCAGCTGATTGATGTTTCTCTCCCATCAATGTTTCTAACTCTCTATCCCTCTCCCTTCCTCTCTGTAAAAAAATCAATAAAATATATTTTTAAAACATTAGCCTGCTATACTTGCTCAAACATTTAATTAACTCACCCCTAGTGCCTTGGCAGGGCCAGAACAAATGATTTCACGGGCCTTATACAGCCTGCGGACTGGATGTTCCCCACCCCTGATCTAGGCCTCTTAGCATGCCTAAGCACCTAGCAGGACTGAACAAAAAAATCTTCCTTAGAGAATAATGCCATCATCCTAAACATAAAAATATTCCTCCAAATTATTTTTCAAACATTAATATAATGACTAAACAGTCAAAAATAACCAAACTCACAAGATACCATGAGTAAGAATCAACAGAAACAACAAATGAAAGAAACCCGCCCTCAAAAGATATGAATTTTATTTAAATATGTTTTTATTGATTTTAGAGAGAAAGAATGGGAGAGGGGGAGAGAGAGAAAAATATTGATGAGAAACATCAACATTGATTGGTTGCCTCCTGCAGGCCCCCTACTGGGGATCAAAACCACAACCCCAGCATGTGCCCTGACCAGCAATCAAACTGGCAACCTCTTGGTGCATTGGTCGACAATCAGTTCTTGAGCCACATCAGCTGGGCAAAATTTTAGAATTATAAGAGTCTATTAAATAACTGAATTTATTGTTTTCAAAGGGATATAAAAACAAGATTTCAGCTGAGAACTAAAAACTATGAAAGACAATTTAGTAAGTTTGAAGAATAAAATAGAAATTCTATAACTGGAAAACACAATAAAATAATAATGAGCAAGTACATTAGTAAGCACCCAAAATGGAGCCCAGAAAAATAAAATAAGGTAACATACAGAAAAGAGGCTAAGACAACTAAAAGATACTGTGAAAAGGTCTACACAGGTACACTATGTTCCCAAGAGAAGAGAAAAATAGGCAATAGCAATATCTGAAGATTAAGGCTAAGAATTTTCTAGAACTGATTAACGATGCCAATCCACAGATTACAAAGCCCAACAAGTCTTAAACAAGATAAATAAAAAAGAAACTCATATTCACAAATATTATTGTGAAACTGTGGAAAACCAAAGACAAGAAATCTTAAAAGCATTCAAAGTAAAAAGATTTCCTTAAAAAAGACATGGATTGCCTGGCTGGTGTGGCTCAGTGGTTGAGCATCAAACTATGAACCAGGAGGTCACCGTTCAATTCCTGGTCAGGGCATGTACCCAGATTGCGGGCTCAATCTCTAACTGGGGGGCGGGGGGAGGCATGCAAGAGGCAGCCGATCAATGATTCTCTCTCATCATTGATGTTCCTATCTCTCTCTTCCTTACCCTTACTCTCTAAAATTAAGTGTGCTCAGAGAAAATAACTACCGACACAGAACTATACTCAGCAAAAATATCCTTCAAGAATAAAGTTAATCAGACAGAAAGACAAATACTACATGGCACCACTTATATGTGGAATCTTAAAAAATACTCAATTCAGACATAATAATAAAGTATTTTCCAGAAACTGCAGGATGGGAGAAATAGGAAGAGGGTGGCAATGGGACAAACTTTCAGTTTTAAGATGACTAAGACATAATGATATACAACATGGTGATTATAATGAAAAATAGTAAAATAGAATAAACATTGCTAAGAGATTCACTTAAAACAGAGTTAGGAGGCTAGTAAGGAAGTGAGGACTATACATATCTTTCAGTTCAATGACTAAGATATAATGATATACAACATGGTGATTATAATGAAAAATGTAAAATAGAATAAACACTGCTAAGAGATTCACTTGAAACAGAGTTAGGAGACTAGTAAGGAAGTGAGGACTATACATATCTTTCAGTTCTCAGAGCTGCTAGTAAATTGCTAAACCTGTTGCTAAACTTTAGCTCAAGGCCAAGCAATAAACATCCGGAATAACAACTGCCAAATGGACGCACTCGGCATTTACCTCCTTCCTTATAATTTTTGCCTCCCTCATTTGCATACTGGGACTGAACCAGTCTAAATAATTTAGAAAAAGAAAAGCAATGAAAACTCAAGGAAAGAATAATTGCGATCTTACACAAACATCTCCCAAGAATGGGGAGGGGAAAAAACCAGACTCCCCAACTCGTTTTATGAGATTGGTATAACTTGATGCTAATACCTAACAAGGCTATCTGGAGAAAAGAATTCTAAGCCAATCTCATGGATCTATATGAAATCATCAACAAAATACCAGCAAACCAAATCCAGCAATATCTTCATAATATATAACAACAAAGTTAGAAATTTCAGAATGGTGTAACATCAGAAAATCAAGAATGCAATTCCACCACACATAAACAGCTTAAAGGGAAAAAATATGACTGCTATAATATACGAGAAAAACATGATAAAATTTAACATTCGATTGCAATAGAAACTCTGAGCAAACTCCTTAACCTGAAAAAGGGGTATCTACAAAACCCTACAGGAAATGTCATATTTAATAGTGAAATGTTGAAAGCTTTCCTTTGAGATTGGGACTAAGACACAGATACCACTCCTATTCAACACTGTACTGAGCAGTGGAGTAAGGCAAGTAAAAGAAAAGGCAAAAGAACTGGAAAAGAAAACATATACTGTCATTAATTATAGACAATACATAATTGAGGATACAGAAAACCCAAGACTTCATTTACATTTTTATCATTAGAATAAGAGTTTAACAAGTGTTACCAGACACAAAAATCAACATTACAAATAGAACTAACTTTCATCTATTAACAAAGTTATTACAAAATGAAATATAAAAAGCTACCAATTATAAAAGCATCAAGAACTATCAAGTACCTAGAAATAAATCTAATAAAAAATTATGACCGCTCTAGAGAAAACTAACATTTTGACATTTTCAAAAGCCCCAAATAGAGCAGATATATCATATTTGTGGACTGGAAGACTCAAGTTGTAAAGATGCCATTTCTTCCAAATCTATAAATTCAATGCAATTTCAATTAAAATCCCATCAGGATTTTCTGGGGGGGAACTTGAAAAACTGATTCTAAAATTCACAAACGGAAAGGGGTAAGAATACCAAAAGTAGAAGCACTTGCTCTACCAGATATCAAGACATTTAGCAAAGTAATAATAATTAAGAATGGTACTGGTACAAAGACAGACAAATCAATGGGGGAAAAATCTAAGCAACCCAGAAATGAACCCATGTACATATGGTCATTGAAGTGAACCTGGAGAAAGTACAGACTTTTCAACAAAACGTCCTGGGATAATTCGGTATCCATAGAAATAAAGTTAATTTTTAAGAACGGTATCTTTTTTTAAAACATCAACTGGGAAAAAGTAAAAAGGACACTTAAAAGCTTTTCAATATAAAACATAAACACATGTAAAGGAAAAGTATCAGAATGCCATGAGACTTGTCAACAGCAAGATGGAATCTGGAAGTCTATAGAACAGTGTCTTCAAAACTGAGCCAGCTCTCTGGGTTTTGACTTTGGTTTGCAACAACATGGCTAAATGCACCAAGAAGGTAGGAATCGCTGGTCAATATGGAACCCGTTATGATGCCTCCCTCAGGAAAGTGGTGAAGAAAACTGAGATCAGCCAGCATGCCAAATAGACTTGCTCCTCCTGTGGCAAAACCCAGATGAAGAGAGACAAGCTTGGGGATCTGGCACTGCAGTTTCTGCATGAAAACAGTAGCTGCTGGTGCCTGGACCTATAACACCACTTCTGCCATCACAGTCGAGTCTGTGATCAGAAGACTTTAGGAACGGAAAGACCAGTAGGAGCTCCACAATTTGAAATCTTGCTAGCCTATAACAAATGACTTAATTTATGTAGCGAAAATAATCTGCAATTGAAAATTATGCCCAGTTCAAACCTCAATCAAGTAGGAAGAATAGAATAACAACATTTCAGATGTCTTTTAGATGACATTTTTTATGTCTTAGAATAAAGACATTTTAGAGCTCTAATAATGTGGCTGCCACACTGCATCTTTACACAGGAAACGGGGCCCTCCATTAACAGAAGGACCTTTACAAGGAAGCCACAGGAGCTGGGAAAAACCAACTCAACACAGAAGAGAGAACATGGAAATTTCCAGAATGATAGTGAAGCAAAGTCTCAGTTTGGAAAACAACCTACACCAGTGGTCAGCAAACTGCGGCTCGCGAGCCAAATGCGGCTCTTTGGCCCCTTGAGTTTGGCTCTTCCACAAAATACCACTTGCGGGAGCGCATGTACAGTGAGATTGAAACTTCTTGGCCCATGCGCAGAAGTCGGTATTTTGTGGAAGAGCCACAATCAAGGGGCCAAAGAGCCGCATGTGGCTCACGAGCCGCAGTTTGCCGACCACTGACCTACACCAATTATTTAGGTAAAGCTCAGAGCAACAAAACCTGGAAACAATGCTAAGTTTAATAGGGAAATACCTGGCTAACTTTTGTAAATAAAACAAAATATTAAAAAATTACTTTGAAAAATGGGAGGCACAAAAGTACACAAGATCATTTCAATTTTTAATAATGTCAACAGAATGCTCCTTAGCTCTTTTTCCCTACAAAGTATTTGTATTTATTTGAGACTACTCCTGCCCCTTCAACACCACCAATCATATACTAACACAATTCTGACTTTCAAAGAAGCACATAAATATAACCACTAGTCCAATTCATTTTTTAATTTGGTATGGGAATTTAAAGCCTTAAGGTAGAGGAGAAAAACAATGTCTAGATAGAGGATTCTATACCAGTCTGAAACTTCTTCCTCTCAAATGTTAATAATACATGCTATTTATTGAAGGATATTGTGGCAACTTCTTTATTCTCAGATTCTATTTCGAACTCTTGGAAATAGTTTAAACTGAACCAAGGGAGAAAAACTAAGAAATACAGGTAAAGTAAAAAATGAACAACCAGAAACGCACATGCAAAACACAAGGCAAAAGATCATAACATTTTGTTAGAAAGGGCAACCAGATGTGTTGTACAAACATGCATGATTTGAAATTGCATAATAGTATCTAAGTAAAAATAATGTGAAATTTTAAACATCTTCAGGGTTTCAGACCTCTCATTTATTATGATTAAATTGTACTAAGGAAAACTTTAAATTGTTTTCAAAAAGCTAGGCGCTAAGAATATATAACATGGTTTCAAAACATTCTAGAATAATGGGAATTGGCACTATGAAATATTTGCTCAATTTTAACTTTAAGCAATCTTACTAAATGAATTGTACTACTATAATAAGGACATAAATTCTAAAGTAAAACAAATAATTTGACAAACCAAACAGTTCAATAGTTTAGAATTAAGGAAACAGTTTAAAATTTTAAAAAGATATTTTGGGGACAAAAATTGTCTATCAAGAGAAATCCTAAGCTGATGAATGTCCTTCTTCCCTAGGCTATAAAAAGTGCGCATGACGGTTTTCTTACCTGGAATAAGATCTGCATAGGTCAAGCTAACATATAAGATACTGATAAGTATTTTATCAGCAAGTGGATCAAGAGCACTTCCCAAAGCTGATTTTTGACTGGCCCAGTTTCGAGCAATAAATCCATCCAACTGAAAATAGAAGTTGTTGTTTTTTAAATAAATGTCATAATAGGCACAGAGTAGTTATCTTGAAGAGATATCGGGATAACAACTATAATTTCATAAAATGTAAGTAAAATCTCTTCTGTTTCTTATCCCCAAACCTTCTCATTCTTTCACTGGTATATGTTTAGCTTTTAAATTACAAACTGGTCTGAAAATAATTTCACTTGTTTACAGTACTTTTGTTTCTCAAGGCCTTCTGGTATTTCTCAATGTTTCCACAATGCCCCTCTGTGGGATGAACTCAGACATAAATTTAGAGATGCAGAAATCTCCCCAAAACTCACAGAAAGCATGCGTGACAGGGCATGGACTAGGAGGCCCCTCTCTTGAGCATTGGGCGGAAGCTGCTTTTACTTGCAAGGACTGCCCTTAAACTGTGAGACTCATTCCTACCTACTCTTCTACCATCCAACTCCCTCAGTTTTAAGTTATTATTTTCAATTTTTTTAAATTTAGTGCCACTGTTAATTCCACATCTGACTGCATTTGCATGTAAAAAACTCAATCCTCTATGCCTGGCCTACTTAAAATTTTTGATACAAAAATTACTTATTTAATATTCTTGCAAATAAGTTATATTTTAAAGCAGAGGTCATACCTGCTTGCCAGAGGGCCAAATGGGGCCTACAGGCTGTCTTTGTATGACCTGCCAGAGCTTTCAAAAATATAAATTAGTTGCCAATATTTACATATTCAAAGTCTTACCACAAAAATCCACATCTCCAGGCCCACTCTGGGGTCACAAAATAGATTGAACCAAGTATTGCCTATCCTCATTAAGCAAGGCAGATTTTTTCTGGTTTTCCAAATCCCTACCTGGCTTTTACTCACTTTATTTAACTTTAAGCTTCAAAAATATTTGAATTTTCTAGTTCTATTTCCAAGGGAAAAAAATATCAAATTAATTTAGATGTAATTTAACATGGTACATCTTTATAGGATAAATAAGTCCTCCATATCTCAAATATTCCAATGAGTTAGAGGAGACAGCAGTAGCACAGGACAATGGTTAATAACTTGCTGTTTGGCAGCAGGCATGGCTGAGCGTCGACCTATGAACTAGAAGGTCACGGTTCAATATTTGGCCAGAGCACATGCCTGGGTTACAGGCTCGATCCCCAATGTAGGGTGTGCAGGAGGCAGCCGATCAATGATTCTCTCTCATCATTGATGTTTCTAACTCTCTCTCCCTCTCCCTTCCTCTCTAAAATCAATAAAAACGTAATTTAAAAAGATTAAAAGAAAAGAAAAGAACTTGCTGTTTGCAACAGAACATAAGTGATTCAAGTTCTGGCTCTCCCACTTACTGTGTGACCTCGGGCAAATTATTTGGCCCCTCTAAGCCTCAGTTTCCTCATCTGGAAAACAGAGACAGTATTACCTACCTCAAAGGCTTGGTTGTCTTCAGTAATCAACATTTAGTAAATCCCCCCAAAAAGTAGTTATTAGATATTACTACCACAACTGAAAGAATCTATTTTCTTCTGAGGTAGACTAGATGTAAAACTAACAGGAAGTGCCTAGAACTGGGAGTAGGGGCCTTGGAAGATTCAGCTTTTAGTTTAGTTTCTGACCTCAGGGACATTAACCTCCCAGTTTTTCACCATCATCACCTCTTACCCTCACTGCTACTCTACCCACATTAGGTTCCAAGGTCATCAACATCATCACTGCTCTGCAAACACCTGTAACTCCTACTCCTCTTTCCCTCAATCCTGCTTAAACACAACTATCCATGTCCTCCAGCCAGGCCTGCACCCAACCAGCTGAACACTGATCAAGAAAAACACATAGCCCTAGCCGGTTAGGCTCAGTGGATAGGGCGTCGGCCTGACTGATCTCTCTTCAAATTTATGACCACAAATCTCCCGTGGGCACTCAATACTGCCTGGCAACCCTGTATCTGCTTACCTTCTCTTTTCACACTGTCTGCTCTCACCTCAAACTAACTCCATACTTCCTAAAGCCTCTCACTCTAGCTCATTACCATATCTACATTTTCCATGAAAAATAGAAACAGACTCTCAGCACTCCTTCATATTTCCACCTCCAAATCCACCACTTACCAGCATCCATTCATTTTCTTTACCTTCCCTGAGACCTGATCCCAGGCTGCCTCACCTTCTGTGAGTTGCCATTCTCCTTCCTTGCATCCTCAATCTCTCCCTTCCTAATTAGTTTATTAAGAAGAAAAATTTCTCCAGTATGTATGTGTGTGTGTGTGTGTGTGTGTGTGTGTGTGTGTGTGTATATATATATATAAAATCTTTAAAACTGCCCTTCCTTGACCCAAATCTTTAAAGCTGCCCTTCCTTGACCCTATTTCTTTATTTCCCCATAAAGCAAAACTTCCTCAAAGTGATGTCTATTGTCATTATCACCCTACATTTGACCACCAGCCCACTCTGATTGTCCCCTCTCTCTACGGATGGTACTCATAAAGGTCACCAATAAAGTCTATATTTTTAGCTTCCTTGACCACAGCACAAATTGAAGCACTTTCCTCACCTAACTTCTGTGACATGCCCTATTGCCTAATATTCCTTTTCGGTGTCATTTACTCATTCCCTTTCCATTGCTGTACTTAATGCTCATTTCTCTGATCCCATCACAGCTTCGATGACTTTCCCAGACCATCTATATGCAGATAACTCCCAAATCTATCTCTAATCACTGACTTCCTCCATCTCCACACTAACTACATTCAACTACCCAAATGATAACCCTATGTGAAAAGGCCTAATAGTTCTTGGTATTTTTCCACAAACCCTACCCTACTCTAAGTGTTGTTAATCACAGAAAATGTTAACCTCAACATACCTGCTTGTTAAAAAGCCATATTTAACTCCTTTTTCTCACCTCACACATTCAATCCAATGTGTCAATCTTCAAAACATATCTCAAACCCATTCATTTCTTCCCCATTCCAAACTCCCACCCTAGTCCAAACTACCAACCCCCCTAGTTTATTGTAAGCCTCCTAACCAGCCTCTCTGCTTCCACTTTTTTATAATCCATTTCCCATACACAACATAAATCAGGCCTGTCATTCCCCTGCTTAAACCCCCCATGAGTCCAGCCATCTGCCCAGCAGCCATTCTAGAGGCATCAAAACCTCCATGGAATAAATGTGAAATATGGTGCCAGTTAACTCAGGTTTCCACACACAATGTCTTATATACTTAGAAAAATGTAAATGAGGCCCCTCCTATTCAGTGAATATTACAATCTCATGTGGCAGCTAAAAAAACAACAACAACCTACCATCAAAAAAAGACCAACTCAAGTAGCTGAAAAAGATCTTGTCTGTTATGAAAAAACAAAATTCCATTATCAGTATAAATAACCTTGGACAGACTTGGAGACCATATTAATAATGAGTGGATGCCTTCACAGACTTCAGAGATAAAAGCAGGAATAAAAGAGAGATTGTGAGAATGGGGAGAAGTTATGACAAACAGGACCTAAACTCTGAAAAACAGAAGTGGCAGCCATTTTGCAACTATACTTGATGCATATTTGGAAATGTCATGTAACAACGCAAATGCCCTCCTTTGTTTATCCTGAAAAATCTTCAGCCAATACCATATTGCTCACCAGAGCTACTGGGCAGGTGAAATTTTGTTTCCATGAACCTCAAAGATGGGCATGCAGGAGGCAGCCAATCATGGATGTTTCTACCTTTTTATCCCTCTCCCTCCCTCTCTCTCTAAAAATCAATAAAAACATATTTTTAAAAAAATAAATAAAAAGCAGGAGTAAAAAAAGTCCCTCTCCTGTGCCTCCATACAACCTCCACTACCTTCCTTAGACAGTATAAAGAATAATGGAGTTCCACACAGATACTAAAGACAAGGCCTTAAATAAAGTGCCAGGTGAAATTCATCTTGAGGATTTCCTTCCAAGAAAAAGCAGACTAAGGCTGTGCTGTTTCAGTGCCATGGAGACCCTGGGATGCGGAAGGGGAGCAAAACAGAGGAAATGACTGTATAACTTACCAAATCAGTTAGCCCAGCTAAAGCAAAAACTCCTAGTGCCACATTAAAATCTTCTTCAATGATCAAATAGCCCAAAACTGGAGCCAAGCCAATTCTCGTCATTGACAACATATTTGGTATTGTCCATGGGTTTTCATACTGAAACAAAAAGACAACAAAATTTAAATTAAATTTATACTTTAAATAAATATATACATGAGAAAAATACACTTGACAAGCTTAAGGGTGAGAGCTACATACACTTTAAATTTAGTATTTTAAATTGAGTTTTTAATTCTTTCTGTTTTTATAGACATCATTCTAAAACTGTCAAGAATACAGAAGATGAAGATGTGCCATGTACCCAAAGGTAGACTAAAGTGTCTACTACACATAGGTTTCTTCCTAAAGAGAGAAGGAACAAACATGTATTATCTACCATATATGTCAAGCCTTTAATATATGACCTCACCACTGCTTTTAAAAGTCAAACTTCAAGAAGCTTTTATACTTCAAGTAGACAGTCTAGGAAAAAAGAACAAATTATCAACTCCAGACATTCTGGCTTAAAAATATTTATTGCAAATAATCTCCCTCACTCCTCTACACATACCCATCAAAAGAATACTAAATGATACACAGTGTTGGTTAATTGGAATGAAGAGGGGGAAAAACACTGAATTACAGAACTTCACTACTAAGTTGGAGAGCTGCCAAAAGAAAATGAAACTAGGAATAGGAATTGAAATTCTTAGGAAATAAAGAGAAATTTGAAAAAATGTTCAAAATAGCCACGGAAATGTTAAGATCCCCAACTAGAAACTAAGAGCTTTCACAGCTCCCCTGTGGGAGCCTTATGATTCCTTGAAAATTCATTTCAAGACAAGCTGTTTGAAGTTGGCACTAACAAAAGGGCTTCTTGGCAGCTGCTCTGAAGAACATTCCTTCCTTGCCAAACAATATTCGAATTTTAAAAGCCTCAGCCCAGTGGTGCTAAGACACCCTGTACAATGGGGTACAGAAATAATACCAAGAAAATGTCTCTCCCTAAAGCCTGGATTTTTACCCCCGTGAGTCAAGGCTGCCAATTCTAGCCCATGTGACTATCTCACAAGACTAACCCTAGTTAACCTCTTTCTTAATTAGTAATCAACTTGTCTGAACCTTAATCTTGATTTTTTTTGAAGTGATCAATTCCAGTTCTAAAGACATCTTTTAAAGATTCCATGGACCATCCAGTAAGAAAAGAAGAGTTCCCTAAAGATACTAAGTTTCTGTTATAAACAAAACCTCAGCAAGGCAAGATAATGGGGTTATTAGTTATTAGGATCAGGCGGCAGAACACTCTCTGAAAGCTACAGAAAAACTTCAGATTCTCCAGGAAACCATCGCGGAAAGAGAAACAATACAAACCTCTACCCAAGGACCTTTTCTTGAAAACAGACCACATTATATCATTAAAGGAAAACATTCTTGGAGTATATTCCAAACTCAAGTTCAATGGTCAGCGTGTTTCAGAGTCCAGAGGGAAAAAAATAGTAAGTCTGTTGACCATACCGTGGTACAAAATAAGTCAAACACCGATTCAATGTTACAACTCACAGAAGGGGGGGAAAGATACTTTCTGATTGAGAAAAATGAGTAGCAAAGCAAAAGGTCAGAATAAAGAGGCCCAGAATTCATCTCAGATATTCGTGGGGGCAAAACTAAAGACAAAGTTGCAAAACAGCCAGATCGTTTCATTGGGTGAGTTAATAAACCAGGTTGAAGGCAGAGAAAAGGGTTTCTTTTTAACGCCACATCAACGATGTCGGTCCAAATGGCCTCGTTAATCTATCACCATGACATCTGTACATTTCTACATTAAAATTAAGAGGGAG